CTCTCTCTCTCTCTCTCTCTCTCTCTCTCTCTCTCTCTCTCTTCTGGTTATCAAAAGACACTTTGCTTCATGTGTGTGTGCATGTGTGTTTGTGTGTGGTGTGTGCATGTGTTACAGCTTTAGAGCAGTGGTTCTCAACTTTCCTAGTGCTGTGACACTTTAATACAGTTCCCCATGTTGTAGTTACCCCAACCATAAAATTATTTCATTGCTACTTCATAACTGTAATTTTGCTATTATTATGAATTGAAATGCAAATATCTGATATGCAGGATATCTGATATGTCACCCCCAAAGGGGTTGAGAACCACAGGCTGAGAACCACTACTTTGAGGAAATCCTAGAACACTTATGATTTTCTTTGCCAGCCATTATGGACTAGGTATAGACACACTATGAACAGCATCAGATCACTGACCAAATCAGAAAATGTTCATAAACTCAAAGGTTTAAGTAATTTTGTCAGGACAAGGTAAGCATAGCTTTCAATTTAGATCCTTTAGTATAAATGAATGTTGTAGTGAATTTATAGACAACTGGCTATTGGCAAAGGACCCACAATCATATCTCTATAGAAAGGTTTATTCACCTGTTCTTCACTTGTAGGTCAGAGTGGCTGTAATACTATTAACTCTGGCCCAATTGGACACTACTGCGCCACTGAGGTGTTATTGAAAACGAAACTTCTATGACTATTGTTTGGACTAAAGCTTAACATAGTGTCTTATTGACAGTGACCTCTCAGGGAGTTTTTAAATGATCTAGAGATTTGAAGGATAGAGACTATGCTGTTTCTTAATGAGTGCCTAGAATTATTTTTGAATAATATAGAAACTATATATCACATTATAGATTTTTTTAAAGATTTGAAATTAGTATCTTAAAATTAACTAAATAATACTCTCAAAATGCCTTTTTAAAAAAAGATATGGTCTCAACTCTGTAAACTCATCACAAATCTCAGGCTGTCTTCAAACTCATGCTAATCCTTCTGTCTTTTCTTTCTAAGTGCTGGATTTATAGAACTGAATCACAACCCCTGATGCCATAAATATGTTTAGGTATAGTCTCCCAAAATGCCCCTTGTTAATTTTTTTACTTTGTAATGACCTCTTCTTCCCAAATCTCTGTGACTCAGTGTATGAGACAGTTACCATTTCCATGACATAATGGCATTTTCAAACTCCCACATATTCTTTTACAATGTGACTCTGGTATTCTTCAAGTTCTGAAGATTATTTCTCCTCCCTTTGAATAAGGGATGGCTTATGATGGTTTTGACCAACAGAAGTAATGTTATGAGGACTGAAAGGCTGAGTCATAAAAAGGAAAGTAGCCTTCACTTGGATGTTAGGAAGGAACAGGTACACTAAATCTTGTGTCTGGAGCCTATAAGGAATGTAACTGCTGAGACTGTCAGACTATGAGAGAGTCAAGCCACATGTAATCCTCATGTCATGCCAGTTAAGGAAAAGACCTTTATAGGTTTCTAAACCTGACCCCCAGATACTTTGCAGACTTCAAACTTCAACTCTAGTTGCTCTGAGCTGCTAAGTTTGAGGGCAATTTACTATTAGCACTGAAGCTTATAATGGAAACAATAGAGGCAGCTTTAGACTTCAAATAACAAACATGTATGAAAATGCTCTCTATATTGTACACACTATTCAATTTTCATAATCAAAATAAAGAATGGTAGAATTCTGTGGCCTAAAATGGAATGGGAAAGATGTAGGCAGTCAAGGGGTAGAGGAAGTAGTTGGAGATGTAAGAGGCAATGATGCCCAGGGAAGTTAAAAGGCAGGCTTCTGTACCCATGCATCATTAAGGGGCATTTTCTTTCCAACTTAAGA